AAGCCATTCATGTCTACCCCGTGCCTAGAAACCGGAAGGAGGTTCAAAGGTTCCTCGGACTGGCCTGGTGATACCATCGGTTTGTCCCGAACTTATCAAGAACAGCAACAGAAAAAGAATGTCTGGCAGTCATGTGGGCCCTGGAAAAATGACAACACTACCTGGAACACAAACTCTTTACAGTTGTCACTGATCATTGAGCCCTGCAATGGGTCATGGGTTCCACCAAAACCACCAGCCGACTCATCCGTTGGGTCTTACGACTGCAGAAATTCGATTTCATCATTGAGTACAGAAAAGGGAAACTCAATGTAGCCCCAGATGCACTATCCAGGTCTTCTTCAATCTCAAGCTGCAGTCTGTATACCAGCCACAAGGATTCAGACCTGCCATTGTCAGATGTTGTCCTGTGGGAGGAACAGCAAAAAGACCCTGTGGTTACAAAACTAGTGCAAGAAGTTGCAGAGAACAGTGCAAGTTTGATGGACCAATATGAAGTTGTTGAGGACAAATTATATCAGAAAACTTACCTGCCAAATAACCAGTTGCACTACCGAGTATACGTTCCCAGTAGTCTTCGGCCCTCTCTGCTGCAGCATTACCACTCCAGTCCACTTAGTGGCCATGGAGGAATCTACAAAACGTATAAGCGACTCCAGGAAGTGGCATTTTGGCAAGGCATGTGGTCCGACGTGAAACATCATGTCAGAACCTGTATAAAATGTCAAACATTAAAAAATTATCATAAAAAACCTGCTGGAAAATTGCAGAAAATCACTACTACTCGCCCAAACCAAATGCTGGGAATCGACATTATGGGCCCGTTACCACGAAGTTCAAATCAAAATGAATACCTGCTAGTTTTTGTTGATTATTTTTCTCGATGGGTTGAGCTGTTCCCCATCCGTCATGCCACTGCTCAGAGTGTTGCTTCCATCTTCAGAAAAGAGATCCTGACTCGATGGAGCGTACCAGATTTCATCCTCTCAGACAGGGGTGTCCAGTTTGTCTCAACTGTCTTCAGAGAGCTGTGTGAAAATTGGAGCATTACACCCAAACTAACTACAGCATACCACCCATAAACCAACATGACGGAAAGAGTGAATCAGACCCTCAAAAACATGATGGCAGCCTACGTGGATGACAATCACAAGAAGTGGGAGCAGTTCCTACCAGAGTTCTGATTTGCCCTGAATTCAGCTGTTCAAGAAACCACTGGACTATCCCCAGCAGAACTTCAGCTTGGCAGGAAGCTCCAATGTCCAATGGACAAAATGCTTCATGGCTTTAATTTGACTCCAGACACTGCTCCCTATGATGTGGTTCATCATCTTCATCAGCTGCAAACTCAAGCCAAAGAAAACAGTAAGAAAGCCAAGATAAGACAACTGAGAAATTACGACAAAAACAGAAGTGACTTAACGTTCAAAATCAAAGACCGTGTTTGGCTACGAAACTTTCCACAATCAAGTGCAAAAAATTATTTCAGTGCAAAATTAGCACCAAAGTGGAAGGGGCCTTACCGTATCCTGAAGCAGCCAGGTCCTCTGAATTATCAAATAGCTCTGGAAGACACTGGAGAGGATGTTCGGACAGCACATGTCTGTAACTTAAAAAGGTGTTTCCCAACAGCAGAGGAACTGGAGTCCCAGGAAAAACAAAAACTCCTTGACCTGTTTCAAGAAGCCTCTGATGAGGAAAAGGAATTTCTAGGTTTTTAGTCCATATTTTTTTAAACAACCATGGGTTGTTTACTTCCAGTGGGGAGAGTGTGGCAGTGCGGGAAATCCGTGCCACAGAAATTGTTTACTTTTACTTTGCATGATTGGGGTGGAGTTTTCAGTTAACAGCGGAAAGGAGGATATAAGGAAGCATGTCGTACCCGAGTTTGATTGCGTCCTCAGTAAGGTTTGCGGTAGTGAGAGTGATTGGATTACCGTGCAAAGTGGAAAGACGGCCGCTTGTCGAACAGTTGCTTCCTGTTAGCGATGTCTGGTGCGTTGCGGAGTTTCACTTGACTTTTGAAGCGTTGCACTTCAAGATTGTCTGCTTTTAGTAAAGCTGTTCTGAAGACAAAAGATGGCTACTCATCCACCTGTCTTGGTGCCTGATAAACCCACTACACTCTCCAGTTTCCTTCATGACTGCAAACTTGGGTGACGCAATTTCTGTACTGATTTCAACTTGAATTGAACTGAAGTGTTAAACCGTTTTTTTTTTTTTTTTGTAGCGCTTGTTTGTTTTTTCTCTCATGGACATTGTGGAATAAATCTTCCCTTTAAACAGTGTTTCTTTTGACCGTCTTTGTGATTTAATATTGTAACAGGTGGTTTCTTCTTTTTGCTATCCTGGGTTAATTAAAATTTTGTCAGGATTAAACCTGACTGGCGCCTGAACATTTTCTTTAATAGAGCTTTTCTATGCTAGGGCGGCCACCACCGTTACAGTTACATGTAATGTCCTAAACACATTTCATTACACCAAATACATAAAATAATGTTCTTTTTAGCAACATATGACCCCTTTAAACATTCCTACTTTGAGAACGTTCATGAAGTATAATAACATCATAATGACATTCCGAGAATGTTGTTCTAAAAATACTTTCTCTCAACATTATGAAAAAAGTAATAATACTAATAATGTTATAAGAACCTTTCATCCTAACATTTATATAACTTTTAAAAAACTTTGGTGAAAGTTACAAGAATGTTCCTTGTTATCTGGGTAGTGTCTTTTCTGGAAAAAAAAAATCATGCTTACCTGCAGCAGAACAATGGCAGACTTCAGCTCGATGCAGTGAAGTATAAATCACAGTAATCGTCTATAAAGTGCACTTCTCACCATTAAGCGCCACTCACTGTTACACCTCCATACAGTTGGTTCTTCCGGTCTGATTAGTTTTTGTGGTCTGGCTATGATTAGCGTTTCTCATTAAACTGTCTGACCTACGTTAGTGCCTGTTAGAGTCCACGCTAGTGCCTGTTAGAGCCTGGCAGGGGTGCACCATGGGAATGTGACAAGTTTTTCTGTAATAATCCAATAAGAACGGAAAAAGGTGACCTGCATATATATCATTTATTTGGTTTTACGGAAAATTTTGCTGGAATAAAATGTAGTAAATTTTACTCTGTCTATGTAGTTTTTAATAATTTTTATTTCAGTTTTAGTTATAGTGGCACATCAAGTTAAACTAAATTAACTAAACTAAACTAAACTAAACTAACCCTGATAGATAGATAGATAGATAGATAGATAGATAGATAGATAGATTAGAGCATATGTAATCGCTCTGAGGACACACCGATAGTAATGGACATGAAACAGGCTAAATGAAATAAGCATTCGTGTGTATGCATTTCAACGGGGGTTCGCCATATACATCGGCGATTATCCCAATGTTCACGTTTGCTATTAAGTTGATGTTTCATTGTGACGAGTGTGTGTTTGATTTCAGCTGCACGCAGCGTCAGAAGCACGCGCTTATCGCAGTCATATCAATAACAGTGTTGCGGGAGACGCTGAAGATCACTATCTACGGCTGTAACAGTTAGTTCAGAGTGAAATGCATTATGGGTTGTGCAGTTCGGAGAAATGTGCTCATGCGACGTGTGCTCTCACTGTGCTGTGTAATTCAGAAAACGGAGAAAGAACATTTATATTCTGCTTTTATTTCAGTTCATTCAGGTCAGTCCACCAAGGGGTTTTTGTGCACTGTAACATTGAGTAAAATGGCATGCATCGACTACTTTGTCCATCTCATCATTGCACGAACATGAATTAACAAGCTGTTACGCTGCCGCTGGGACTGATGAAGTGGAGAAAGTAATAACAGTTATCAAATGACTAAATTATGATATTTGCTCAGGTGGGCGCTGGGGTCTTATCTATCGGATTGCAACATATATCCATGTTGTTAATTAAACATTACACATAGTGCGCGTCTAATTAGTTAAGCCAGTCGGCGTGGTAGCCCAGGCTCACATAGTCATAG